TAAAAAACAGGCAGAAAACCTGCTTTGCGAAGATCTGGCACCCCTGCGCCTTGGATCCAAGCTGGAGGGGTCACAAGGTCAGCCCCACGCAGGTCTCCTGTACAGCTGATCTCAGTAAAGCTGGGGCAGCTCCTTGTGTGCTATCCCGGCTCTCTTCAGAGCAGGTCAACAACTTCCAGTGCATCCCACCAGCAGCTCTGGCAGCTGGAGACGCGATCCGCCCCACTGGCAGCTCCGGTCCCTCTCTCTGGTGCCAGGAGGTGTCTCTTCCCCTTCCCTACGCCATACAGTTCAACTGCTTTCTGGGGTTCTACACAATGCCTTACAGGAAAGCAGAGGGTCCCTTTAGGTCACTGCTGAGTGCAGCCCTCTGGCACCTTTCTATTAGGAAGCCACACCCTGAGGGACAGCCTTTCCTGCAGTCAGCACCCGGGGTGAATCTCTCCTGCCCAGGCTGCTGCCATTAGCTGCGTTTTTTCACTGGGAAGGAGCAGCCCCCTCCTCACAGCACACTGTGCCCCTGCTTCCCTCTGCCCACCCTGCACAGGCTCTCCTTCCCTTCTCTTCTGCCCCGGGTTTGAGATTCCACCTTTTGGATGCCAGCCTGCACTCCCAAGGGGAGGGAGCTTTNTTTGAAATTCCACCTTTTGGATGCCAGCCTGCACTCCCAAGGGGAGGGAGTTTTCCAGGCTCTAACCCTCAGGCCTCACGGCTGAGCACAGGCTTCAGGGGGGACTCCCCCTTTCTACACCTCCCCCTCTCTTATCAGACTCTATGGTGTTTCTTCAGTGCTCCTTACTCAAAATATGTCCATAAGCTATATTTCTCTTGTTTTTTTCAAGCTGGCTATGCAGTATTTTAGCTGTAAATCCAGTCCATGGCTGGAAGGAAGGGCGCTGTGCTTCTTGTTAGAGTGCCGACCAACCTGTAAAGTTTTTAGCTGAGGAGTGCTCAATGAGAGGACTATCTAGAGAGGTGTGAGCAAGGGCAAGGGACCAAGAAGCAGTGGCAAGTCGGAGCTGGCTCATGTGGGCTCCCGAGAGCTGAGTGTTAAATCATCAAACATTTGGGAGTTGGATGTTCAAAGCAGCCAATAATAAAAGCTTATTTTATTCTCTAAACCACTTTATTGAGGTTTGTTTAACATGTCAAAAGCTGTGCATATTTAATGTATACAACTGTACTAGTTTGGGGGTAAGCATACACCTGTTAACCATCACCACCATCAAGGGCATAGACATCACCAACCAAAGTTTTCCCCCACCCCCTTTATTATTTTGTTGGGTGTGTATGGTAAGAATATTTAGCATAGCATATTTTAAGGATATAATACGATATTGTTGACTATAGGCACCATGCTGCATGGTGATGTCTAGAAGTCATTTATTTTGCATACTTATTAAAATTTTGATTACATGAACTTACAATTAAATGAATTATACCTTTCAAAGGTAAGAAAAACAACCCACCGCTTTCTAATTATCTTATTACACATTACTGTCATCTATGCTCTTGTAGTTAACTTTGTCTATTGGAACTATATGGTGGAAATACTATATAATGGTGAACGAGTACACATCTTTCCCAACCCTGTGTTCCATGACATCTGCTGCTGGCTTGAAATTGGCCAGGGTTAGAATATTGACACCACGGAAATTGGCAAATGGTACAAATCAGGCCTTGGCTTATTGTTTTGTTGATTGCCTAGACTTAAGAAAGTGATGGAGGAAACGATAATAATTAACGAGATTGAATGCACTTAAAATTGTGTGTTGTCTGTAGCTGTTCCATTGTGAATAGCATAAAAATTTGAAGAAATGCTTTTGGCATATTCCAACACCATTATTCGACTCGGAAAAGAAGCTCCACACGTCACTGATGGATGTGTGTCTGTCTTGTTTCGTTTTTGCCTTACTCATGACCGTGAATGAAATTATCAAGTGACATTCGTGTCACGACCACATTGGCTCATCACTTGCAAGCACAGATCGGCTACAGATACAAACAAGAGTTTGGCAAAAGTCAACTAAAGCAATCCGTGAGAATCCATGAAGTCTATGAAATTTACGATAAAGAGTATTTTATATTTTATTATAATTTTAAATTGTGTACTACACATTCTTTATGTGAGTCAGAATTATAACAGAGTTAGAGTTATAATAAACTTCTATACATATATATATGCATACTTTCCAATCCCCCCACCCCGTCCACACCCCAGAGAACAAGTTGTCAAACATTGACCAGCATGTCACAGCCACCAAGGGATGGTCAGGCACCAAGAAAAGCCATCTTCTCTATAACGAGCCTGGGCCTAAAGGGGCAGGGACAGGGATCAGTGTTACTGCATCTGGGTGAGAGTTGAGGAATGCAGCCACTTCCAGAACTGTAGGGAGTCTCAGAGGATGTGTGTTGGGGGGAAGGTACAAATACCCTTGGTTCTCGCTCCTCCCATCCTCTGGTCTCCTGTCGGTGCCCTCCACTGGCTGAGCCCAACTGGCAGTCTGGACAAGGGAGCTTCCTGAGTGGTGCCGTCCACCTGGGGCAGCCTCTGGGACACAGAGCAGAGCTAGGTAAAGACAGCAACCAGAACAGCAGGTAGAAGGGTGGCCCAGAGCAGCAGAGAGGAACCTAGACGTGGCCTGCGACACCTCCTGGACCTGAGATGTGAGGGGTGGGCCTGGCACAGGAGCACGAGCAGTCACCACCACTGGTGAGGACAGCTGGAGAAACACTGTCCCTCAGGCAGGGAGCACAAGCAGGGGAAAGGGGCATTCCACGGTGAAGTTGAGAGAAAGTAGAGTAACCATCATCACAGATCTGGACCTTGATAGCTCCTTTGATTCCAGGAGCTTAATGAGGGCGTTTGGATTTGAATTGCTTTAAAACATTTTTATCACAAAATCTTAGTTTGCTGTCTCTGTCCTGTCCCTCAGCTGGGAGAACCTGTGAGACCTTAGGTCTTCCTCCTGTCATACCTCTCACAACAGCTAGCATGCATTATCAATCAGTAAAGATGTTGTTTCTATGTTTGGTCACATCAATCTTTGGCTCCTTGTTAAAAATATTCACGCCAACATAGATGGAGTGAGCGAGTAGCACTCTGCTATGGACTGAATGTTTGGGTCCTCCCCCTGCAAAATTCATGTATATTGAAGCCCTGACCCCCAACAGGATGGTAGTCGTGTTAGATACCATGGGGCTTAGATGAGGTCGTGAAGGCCGGGCCTGCAGGAGGGGATGAGTGCCCAGCCCTGACCACACTCCTCACTGCCAACCTCCCAATTTGGGGAGACCCCTTTTCTTGGAAGTCACATGCTTCCCCTGAAGTTTCTGTTCAGTCTGTGGTTTGATGTGGGGGAGGGTGTGAGGGGTTGTTGGAGTGAGGCGTAGCCCTTATTGCCTGCCTGGAGCAGCATGGTTTGGGAGCTGCTGTCAAGGCCGTGGGAGTGGAAAGCTCTAATTAATCTCTTGCGGGTGTCTTCATGGGCACTTGGGCACTTTCACAGCCCGTCCTCAAGGGAAACGAGTTTGTGGGTTGGCCCGAGGGAACTGGCTGCTTGTGGGACAGGAGCCCATTAGGACATGTTCAGAAACACTATTTATTCTCAGATTCCTAAAAGTTTGAGGCTGCCAGAGACTTCTGAATAGGACCCAGTTTCTCCCAGCATGCCACCGGTCCCCCGCCATTTACCCATGGATACACAGAATGGCCACAGGGACATGGACCGTTTCTTTCCCTCAGGGCTCGCCTCTCCAAGTCCTGGGCACGGCGTCCCTGCAAGGCTAAGTTGGCCATGCTTGACCCTGTTTCCCCTGCCACATTCTCCCCATCTTGATGCTCCCCTTGGTCTGGACTCACTCCGGCGCCCTGCGCTTAGGGCCTTTCACTCCAACCTCTCTCTTCCAGGATGGGCAGGACCTGCGGGGACCCAGTCACAGAGGGGCGGGGCTTCGTGAGGGAGCCCAGTGTCTCCCTGGAAACGAAACGGGGTCTCCCTGGCAGGGCAGACAGTCGGAGGCAAGGCTGGCTTAGCGGGAACCAATCCCATGCCAGGAGCCCCCTCCAGGTCTGTGTGCGCAGGCGCTGCCTGCGGCGGGCGGGGCGGGGGCGGGGCCTC